TAATTTGGTGTCATCTGCAAATATTATAAGGGGTTGTTTAACTGTTTTAACTTGTAATGTTTTAATTTGCTGTATGCCGCCTCGATTGTGCTGCAGAGAGGCGGCATACAAATAAAAATTATTATTATTATTATTATTATTATTATTATTATTATTATTATTATTATTATTATGCCTTTTATCCAGTTTGTTGATAAAGATGTTGAATAGCACTGGGCCCAGGACAGAACCCTGTGGCACTCCACTAGTCACAGGATGAAGAGGAGCCATTGCTGAGAACCCTTTGGGTTCAGCCAGTCAGCCAACATTATAAATGAGAATGGTGAAACTGCAAAAAGGGGATGGGAATTAGACTTAAATATAATAATTTCTGATGGTGAATGGTCAAAAATTACAAGCAATATATCTCATAAATCTTGGAGGGATTGCTATTGTATGTGCACATTTTTACACGTGGTTATATTCTGACAAGATCTATCAATTGTTTCTGGGATTCCTGGAAATTCAACTCCAACTGCCTCAAGACAAATTTGGCCCATAAATATACCCACTTTGGGAACTCTCTGTACTTCAGTTGTCTCGGGTATCACAAACTTGCCCTGTATTATACTTTTGTCCATATGCATTGGTCACAATAAGAACTTGAAGCATAGACATATAAGTTGTTTATTTCTTGCTGTTACTCATTTGGAGATAGCACAGAACTGGAAGAGTGTCTGCTTGTTCATGGAGAACTGGTGGCAAAGGGTCTGGAACACCTCACTAATGGAAAAGCTATCAAACAGGCTGGAACTCTATTTTGTGTCATACTCCTTTTGAAATGGTTTCCCTTTTTCACTTTTGTTAATTCTTTAGAATATCCTCCTCTGCCTTTTAGCACATCCTCCATACCCCATGTTATTTTGGGGACAATATCTTGTTATATTTTGTTACAATAGCAGCTACATAGAGGCTAAAAAGCATGACCCTGGAAAGGCCATGATGACCTTTAAGTGAATTTCTCATGAGTGGTTCACATAAGACCTGAGGGCATGTGGAAAGGACCCATATAACTTAATGGCTGTGAGTATTGCTGCTTCTCAACCCCCTGCCATGTGCATTTCCTCTTGAAGGTCAAAGACAAAGAAGTCTGTCAGCCTAAATCAGTAAGCCAATCTCTCTGCTAGCCCCCATTGTATTGCCAACACCTCATCCTGTCCCAAACTCCCTTGGATTGTCCTGATTTTATCACTACTTGATTAAATCAATGTCACTGCTATCAACCAAAAATACTCCTTTTGTAACTGAAGTTAAAACCATCAATCAGCTGGGAATCCCATTGTGTCTGGGATACATGGAAAATCAACTCCAATTGCCTCAAGACAAATTTGGCCCAAAAATATAACCACTTTGGGAATTCCCACTTTAGTCCAGTTTGGAATCAGGCTAAAACTCTGTCCGATTCAAACTTGCTCCCTCAGTACTGTTGTCTGTGCCACACAGCAGTAGACTTGAGTCCCATTCAACTCCCAGCTTTCCCCCAGATTGGAGCCTGGCTTCTGGAACTGGTAAGCATTGCCCATTGCAATCCTTTAATTTGATATCCATTACCACCTTTTATATCTTAGTCTGTGTGTGTGTGTTAGTAAATGCCTCATGTGAATATTCACATCCCTCTTGTTCAAATAGTAAAATTGAGTTGTATTTAGCACTCTGGAATTCTAGTTTTTCAGAACTAGAAAACATAGTGCCCTGGCTAGAGTTATCCTGGCCTTTGCACTGCTAAATGATTGAGCTAAATTAATTTCCCATTAAATATAATTTGTGAGAACCTGGGTTTTGGGGTAAAATGCCACTATCTCAACATAAGAATTTATGGAATGACCTTGTTTTCTCATCTGACTCCAAGACCTATATTGTAGTCATGAATTTTTAACTTTCCTCAATGACCTCCATAACAACATCAATGTGATGGTTTTATATTATGCCTACCGAGCTATAATTATATTGTAACTTCTCATCTTTTTGTTTTTTGCATTCTTTTTTAATAAAAAAATTAAAAGAGGGAATAACAAAGGTATTTTACAGACCATTGTTTTATAGAATAATAGCTCTGTTATACAACATATCTTATAGTATTCTATTGTAGGATTAGTTCAACATTTATGGGTTGAGAAAATGTAATTCTCTGTAACGTAATAATGTTTGATTATTAAATACAAGAGATAAACTAAGTAAACTATGTAAAATTTGGCCAAACAGTTAGACCATAGAAAAGAAAGTAATGAATGGAGTACAAATGTTAGAGGCTATATGTTTGGTAGTTATCTGAATAGAAGGATGTAGTGTTTCGTTTGAATTGATTGTAATGTAAGTAGGCAATTTGTATGATGTGAATGAATTGTAAATTGTCATTGGTTATATGTTTTTTTAATTTTTTTTATGGAAACATTAATAAAAATAAAAGAGCCCTGGTGCCGCAGCCACTCACTCACAAACTACAAGGTTATGAGTTCAATCCCATCCAGGGGCTCAGGGTCGACTCAGCCTGGCATACTTCCAAGGTTGCTAAAATGAGTACCCTGCTTGTTGGAATCAAATAGCTTACACTTTGTAAACTGCTTAGGGAGTGTTTAAGTGCACCAATAAGCTGTATAGAAATGTCCTTGCTATTGCTATTGCTAAAATAATATATTTTTTTAAAAAATGTAATTCTTTTTCATCAATTTTACAAACGCAGTGGCTGGCACCAGTAGCATCATGAATGACAACTGGAAACTGGAATTGCAATCATCCATCCATCTACCAGACATTTTGTGATGTACACACAGAGGCCTAAATTCTATTGTTAGTTTGAAAAGAGCCAACTCATTGAATCAATTCTATTTACCTGCATGTTGAATCACTATTCAACAATTGATTGAATGGGTCTAACCAACAAGATGCCAGCCAAAGAGGGGGGGTTTCTCTAGAATTGCATTTGGGTTTTCATTTATACTTCCTGGTGCTGAAATTCAGTCTTTCATGTGGTAGTTGTAGGGGGGAAACTAGATCACCAAGCCTACATCAACAGTGTCCTGTCCCTGCATTACATTTGCTCAAGACATTGTGCTACTGCTTGCACAATTATCATGGTAATGAAATCTGGGGGTTTTCAGTTAGCCAAATAAATCTAACGTATACTTCTATTTGCATTTTCCATCATGTACGTGTGTGTGCATGCATGCGCATGTGTGTATGCCTGTTCCTTAAAACAGAGGAAAATAGCAAGGTGCTAGTTTGCATTCTTGCTACATAAGGGCAATTTCTAGTGCTTTGCAACAAGAATTATACTGAATTATATATGCATTAATTTAACATTTCTGTCTGCTAAATTCATGTCCCAAATGCTGAGAGATGCAGAAATATATTCCTAAAAATGACAGCCATCCCCTTTTGCAGTTGTGCCACAAAGGAAATTTCAGAATGAGGTACTCAAAATCACTAGGAAAAGAGATTATAAAAAGCACAGTAAAAAAAATTACAGCAGTGGGTTTTATTGTATTTTGTAGGTACCGTTAATCTCTGGCTTGCTTCAGAATTCAGTACAAACCCATAATCAACTGTATACATGGTTTTGATTCTTGAACCAACATACTGAGATCCAGAAGTGATGTGGTGAAGATGCTCTAGTCAGAGTGGTTTTCTCTCATTGGCTGGCTGTCTTTCAGGCTGGGTTGTCATGTGACTGCCTGTCTGTGCCTGCTGTACAGGTGAGAGGATGTTCTGCACAGCAAGTGTAGACAGGCAGACACATGACAACTCTGTCCAGCCAGCCCCTTGGCTCCAGCAGGGGACTCTTTGCTCTGGGTTTAACAGGACTGACTTCTTTGCAGGGCAAGGCCATACAAAAGTAAACCTGAACACATTGGGGAGCTGTCAAACAAAAAAAGACATTTATTTTATTCAGAAAAAATGTGTTTTCACATTCTTATTTTTATTTTCCTGGCATGTATACAAGATGAGAATGAAACAAAACATGTAGCCTAAACATAGGTCAAAAGAACAATTTGGAATCCTGTGCAAAAGACTGCATGCAGGGCTCACACCCTGAATGCACAAATCTCTGTGACTACGATTCAGCTCTTGCAAAGAAAGAAAGAGTGTTCAGATAAATGATATGTTCACATAATAGAAAAAATAACTTTCAAAAATTGGCATGCTTAAAAAGGGAAAGAAAATAATGTCCTGAGTATAGGCATGGTTAAAAATGAAAAAAATAATGTCCTAAGTATAAATGTTGCTATCCCAACTAACAGTTGTTAATCCCACATGCCATTATCATCATCATCATCTGCACACAGAGGAGAAACATTGAATTCTCAAATACAGTAGTCTTATTTCACAAAATGTAGAAACAAGTAGTACAGGAAGATTTTGACCCTGATATTTCAAAATAGCCATTTGTTATTTTGTTTGGTTCTTATCAAATGACAGAATTATTATTAGGAAACCTATGAGACTTACTAGTTATAATTACCAGCAAATGAGAGATAAGATTCAAGTCGCATTAAAAGGCCAAAATGTTTATGAGTGCCTTAGAACAGACAAATTAGAAGGAGAAGATGCTATAGCTTGTTAAAGAAAGGGTTCTGTAGCACAAGATACATAATGTGGCTGGCATCCTGTAGTGCAGTTACAGATTCACAACCTAGGATTACAGATCTGTAACTATATAGTTACACAATATATACAATGCACAGGTCCCAAAAAGATGTATTATAAAACTAGAAGCTGCCTTCCAGCCACCAGCTAGGAAAGCCTACAGCGGGTCTTGTGTATGTGTGTAAGAAATTCACCTTTGATGTCGAGAGTACGTCTACCTTGGTATAACATCTCAAAATATTAAATAAGATGGTCCAGAATCCTGTTAGAGAGGTACATCTTCATAAGTGGACGTACCTCTGAGGGAATTAGAATTGGGCAGTTCCATAATGTCTGTAGTGGGCTGCCATTATGTTACTAACTAGCAGACCCAACAAGTCAGCGTGGCATAGTGGTTTTAGTGTTTGACTATGACTCTGGAGACCAGGGTTCAATTTCCAACTGGGCCATGAAACCCACTAGTGACCTTGGGCAAATCACATGCTCTCAGCCTCAGGGGAAAGCAATGGCAAACCTCCTCTGAACAAATCTTGCCAAGAAAACCCCATGATAGGGTTGCCTTAGGATCATCATAAGTCCGGAATGACTTGGAGGCATGCAACAACGAACTGCTCTGCATTCAGTTATACTGTGTATTCATGACCGTAGCTCTATTTTCACTATCATAACCCCCCTCCCATCTTACCTTAAAGTCTGTGAGCCATTCTGAGTGATGAAGGTCTATTCTACTGATGATCAGGTTGCAACAGAATGATGTTTACAGCCCCCTTCCATCAGCAGGTGAGGCTGAGAGAATCAGAAGAAGCACCTTTGTCACAATTCCTTGTCACAATACAGATTATTGGTGGGGGGAGATGGGAAACATCATCCTGTGTCACCCCTGTCACCAGCAAAGTGAACCTCCATCACTTTGAGTGACTGCTGGCTGTTAAGGTAGGTTTGGGCCAGTAGATGATACCTAGTTGTGCATTCATAATTGAGTAATGTAGGATCTCTGCCTATAATTCTTTGTATAAGTAAAGAGCACAACCAAAGAATGTTAGATAATATTCAAAATAATGTTACTACATGCGATCCAAATCCCGGAAAATTTGGATGAAACTGAAACTTGATTCCAAATGGAATTGTGAAGCCTATGCAACTTGTCTGATCACTATTTTTTTTTTAAAAAAATGTGATTAAATGGATTTAATCTTAGTAATGACCAGAAAGTGTAATATCTCACTTGGACAGTTTGATTCCTTTGCATCTGTGTTGGATGGGATTCTCTGATGGTTGTCTCTTGGAAAAGAAAAGAAAAGAAAAGAAAGTATTAAACAAGAGCTCCACCCTCTCTCCTTTCTCAGAATTCGGATAGATCAAATTACAAAGTTTTCCAAAGTTGGTTGGAAAAATAGTCATAAAGCTCTGTTCAAGAGCCAATGAGAACTCTACTGCTATAACTATAATAGAAAAGGTCATTTTACCAGATGCTGTACCCTACCCAAAAAAAGATTTGGTAGGTCCCCAAATACTAAATCTGCAAGACAGAGGCAGTATGTCACAGATGCCCCAGCAACAGATCTCACAAAGTAGAAATGAGGTGAAGCTGTTTTCTTTTAAAGCAGGGCTGGGAATCAGGGAATCTAGAGCACTCCATTAGCCCTTCCAGGAGACCTTGGAGAGCTCATCCCATACCACATACCCCGCAAATATTTTTTACCCCCATTGCTCCCATACAGCCTCTAGAATGCATATGGTTATTTTTGCCAATTGTTAGGCCTTCCTGGGTTTAAAATGGCTCACATGTGCCCAGAAATGTGGCAATAGTATTACCAATACCCTAGAAAGAATGTGGGTGCAATTTTTTACCCACACAGGTCCTAGTGAACAGCATTTTTCCCTCTCCTGTTTTAAAGCGGGGAGGGGGAGAACACTGTCAATTGATGAATACAACCAGGAATCATTTTCACAATACATTTTATGATATTTTCTTTGATGCAATTTGCTGAGGGCAAAATTCAGATTGCTAATGGACACTTCATGCCTATTCATGGGTCTGGATGTAGTACTCTGAACTGAAAACTACATGACAGATTTGTGCAAAATGTAGCAGATAGCAAGTGGCATCCTGTTTGGGGTGCACAGATTTCCCTTATATCTGCATATGTACATTTTTGGTCACTGTGGAATTTGGTATTCTCTTTCTCCCTCTTCCGTGCCAAACACTCCCCCAGATTGATCATACAGACCAATCTCTCCCCTCCCTTCTTGGCCATTCTGTGCCTTATGGGGGGCAGGCAGACTCCGAGAGGCATCTGCCTTTGTCCTGGTAGTCAGACATAACATGGTTACATCCATGCTGAGACCTCCAAAGAAATCCAAAGAGGGAGCTCAATACCGTTGTAATAATAATATGACTGACTATGCGGACATAACAAGATCCTTCTCTGATCCTCCCACTCCCCATAAGGCATGGGATGGATGTTCAGGGGTTTCAGAGGCTGTATGGTAAATTGGGGGTGTGGTATATGGATTAGCCTAGTGTAGGTCCACATGTGAAACTACTATGCTATCCTGAACCACACTGAATTGTAGCCACAGTCTTCTTCATGCCTGACTTGCATTGCAGTTCACTACTCTAGATAATACTTTTCAAAAGAAAAAAAGTATGCAGTTAACTAAAGATCATATTCTGTTAGTTGAAACACCTGAAAATGATGATAAAAATGAATCAAGTTTTCAGCTCAACAAGCAAATGTGGCTCAAGCACATTAAAAAAGAACAGCCTCCCCCCCCCCACATCTATCTTGAACATCATGACCCAAAAGCCATACTTCAGTTACAAAACCAGAACTTGGCCAGGGATATCTGCTCAAACAACATTGTGTTGAAGAAAAGGCAGGTAGGTCCGTGTTTCAGCAAAAAGAATCAACAGAGTGCTAAATCTCATACATAACCTATGTGGTCCATTTCACATGCCCTCCCTTTGCAGAAGTAGATATGCTTTCATTTTGGTGGATTGTTTTTCGAAGTATTGTGTTGGCTACTTGCTGAAAGTGAAAAGTCAAGATAAAGAGATGTTGCAGAAGTAAATTGCTATGGTTATATTGCTGTGGTTTCATACTGAAACAAAAGAGACAAAAGCTAGATGCCAGAACAGAAGGGACTATTCTAATTGACAGTGATTCTGGAGGCAAAGGATATAGACTGGTTCAGTTACTATTAGGCATGTGGTTCACTTTGATGACCAAATAGCTGATGAGATGAACTATGCTAGTAAGAGGAACAAGAGGCTGAATTAAATTTCTTATAAAGAGGATAGACTAGAGACCATAGAAGAGCAAGAATGAAATGTTGAACCTCTCATATAGAACTGCAAATGATGCCCACAAGCAGCTTCACCGTCTGATCCAGTCCCCAGACAAAGGAGTTAAGTGTGTCATGTAGAAAGTGAGTCAAATGCATGGAGCAGTATACAAAGAAAAAAGGATGTAGATGAGGATGGGCTGATGACTAGGTTGAAAAATGATGGTTTTGCGCATCTGCACTGCAAAAATAATTCAGTTTGAAACTACATTAACTGCCATGGCTCGATGTGATGGAATTCTAGGGTTTGTAGTTTTGTTGAGATATTTAGCCTTCTCTGCCAGAGAGCTCCAATACCCCAACAAACTACAAATTCTAGGATTCCATAGGATGAAGTCATGGCAGCTAAAGTCAAAATGCATTGTTTCTGCAGTGCAAGGGAGGCAACTCTGGAGACAGACCAGATCCCAGAACAGGTTTCTAGGTGCTGAATGTGATCCAGAAAGGTGTAATGGCTCTACACTTGTCCCTCCTTTCAAAGGTGGAATTAGCCAGTGAACAGAAACCAAATCAAGTTATGGAGCTCAACCAGGATTATAACAGACATTGAAGAACTAGCCGCATAGCAAACACAGTGGAACCAGCTATAACAAGGTATGCAAGCTTAGAGAGAGAAGTAATCAACGAGCTACTGTCCAGCTACTGAAATAATAGCTGATATTTTTTTAATCGGGCCTCTACCAAGACACTATTTTGACAATCTAAAAGTCCAGATGGGATTTCAGGGGTACATACATTATTAAGAAGAAGTGTTAGATTTAGCAACATTTGCATGCCTATATTTAGTGTGCATGTTACTCTATAGGAGTTTAGACACAATTTGTAAATATGGTGATTTCCTGTTATTGCTGCTTTTTTCCACACACAGTCTTTTCCTGCATCACTGTAATCTGCAACCATGATTTTTCACCCTCTATTTTTCATCTATTAGACCATGTATTTGATTGTGACAAGCAGGGTTTTTTTTT